TGTAGGAAACGAGAGCAATTTTTTGAACTTTTTATTTGGAAATGATTTTAAGCTCACAGAAAAGTTGTAAGAATGAGAATAGTACAAACAGCCCACTTGTACACCCTTTGCTCAGATAAAATTATTTCATATCATGGGGAGATATATATATCTATACACACAACCATTTGCATGCATATCGCAAGAATGTATAGATAGAAGCACATAACATAGGATTATATATGTATGCGTGTTATATGTTATTCACACATGCATGGGTATGTATATATGCTTGTATATAACTTGTCCTGACTGATTTAAGCATAGACTTTATACCTCATGGTTCTTTATACATAAAGACTCCAGTGTGTATTTTCTAAGCACAGGGATATTCTCCTACATAACAACAGTACAGTTAGCAACTTTGGTGGAATTAATGTTGATTCAATAGTTTTATTTAATCCACCACTCACATTCTTTTTTTTAAGATTTATTTATTTATTTGAGAGAGAGAGAGAGAGCACAAGCAGGAGGGGTAAAGGGAGAGAGAATCTCAAGCAGACTCTACTCTGAGCATGGAGCCTGACACAGGGCTTGACCCCACGACACTGAGATCATGACCTGAGCCGAAACCAAAAGTCACCCCCTCAACTGACTGCACCACCCAGGTGCCCCAACTACTCACATTCTTACTGTGTCAGCAGCACCTTGCATTCTCCCCTTACCATGCGGGATCCAGTCTGAGATCAGGCATTGCACGTAGCTATCAGGTTTTTGCAGGCTTTTTCTTTTTTTTTTTAAGATTTTATTTATTTATTTGAGAGAGAGAAAATGAGAGACAGAGAGCATGAGCGGGAGGAGGGTCAGAGGGAGAAGCAGACTCCCCGCCGAGCAGGGAGCCCGATGCGGGACTCGATCCCGGGACTCCAGGATCATGACCTGAGCCGAAGGCAGTCGCTTAACCAACTGAGCCACCCAGGCGCCCCAATAGGTCTTCTGGTTTTGTTTTGTTTTGTTTTGTTTTTAAAGATTTTATTTATTTATTTGAGAGAGAGAATGAGAGAGAGCACATGAGAGGGGGGAGGGGCAGAGGGAGAAGCAGACCCCCCGCCGAGTAGGGAGCCCGATGCGGGACTCGATCCCGGGACTCCAGGATCATGACCTGAGCCGAAGGCAGTCGCTTAACCAACTGAGCCACCCAGGCGCCCTTTGCAGGCTTTTTCAATTGAGAACATTCCATGGCCCTTCTTTGCTTTTATGACTACAGCAGTCATTCTCAATTGGGAGCAACTTTTGCCCTCCAGGGCACATCTGACAATGTCTGGAGACACTTTGGGTAGTCATGACTAGGAGTGTATTACTGGCATCTAGTGGGTAGAGGGCAGGGATGCTGATAAACATCCTACAATGCACAGGACAGCCCCCCTACCACAAAGAGTCGTCTGGCCTAAAATATCAATGGGTTGTCAAACCATATACTAGAGTGATCCTTTAAAAAACAGGAATTGCATCTCATCACCTTCCTGCTGAAATCCCTCCATGGCTTTCCATTGCTCTCGGAATAAAATCCAAGCTCTTTATCACAGCCCAACTGGTGACACGGCCTCACACCTCATAGCCTCCCTCGCTCTTCCTTGTTTGCTATGTTCCAACCACACCAATTGGTCTGTTCCACAAATGTGCCTTGGTTAACCCTACCCCAGGACCTCTGCACTTCCTGTTTCCTTCTCCCAATATCCACACAGTAGATCCCTTAGGTTCAAGTCTCATCTCAAATGCTCCATCTTCGGAGAGGCTGCCTGACAACACAGATTCTTTATCCCATCATCCTGCTTTAGTTTTTTTCATAACACTTTATTATCTGAAATTATCTTGTTTATTTAATTACATGGTTATTGCCGGTCCTCCTCACCAGAGTGAATGCCACACGGGGGCAGGAATTTTTAACCATTTTCTTCACTCCTGTATCCCCCGCCCCTAAAACCAGTCCTATCATAGTAGGCAGGCACCAATTTTGCTGAATGACAAATACGACAAATAATGATTACAAGAATCAGCTCTGAGTCAGGCAGACCTCAGATTGAATCAGTGTTCTCCTCCTTACCAGTTGTGGAGATTTGAGTAAAGACTTTTCATTTCTGAGCCTCTACCTCTACCACAAGGGAGCCATTGATCTGATGAGCTAGAGCTTCTAGACTATTGCTGAGCACATAGTAAGTGCTTAATAACTTGTTATTTGTGGTTCCGACATAGATGAAGCAGCAGGTATGGATGGGAAATAGGATGGAACCCATCTAGACCCTCCTCTTCCCATGATCCCAGATGCAATCCTTCTCTTGACCATTTAAATCTCTTATAACACTTTACTGCATTTTCTAGATGCCTTCTTACTTGATAACTGCCTAAGGGCAAAGGCCCTCTGTCTACTTAACACAGCACCTGAAATGAGGAGCTAGAGAGGCAGGGAGGGAAGGAAGGAGGGAGGGAGGAAGGGAGGGAGAGGAGGAGTGTTTCTGCCTGTGTTCTTACTACAAAAGAGATGAGATCCTCTGATGAGATGCCAGTGCTGGGTTGGGGGAGGGAATGAGAATAGGAATGAAGATTCCAGGTTTTAGAGTATAAGGTAATGGGAATGGGAAACAAGTGAGGTACTAGTCTAGGGTGCAAAATTTAAGGGTGAGGGGTGTATGTGCCAAAAATCTCAGTAATCAAGATAAATAATAGTTTAATGAAGTATTTTTTTAAGATTTTATTTTTTTAAGATTTATTTATTTTAGAGAGAGGAGAGTGGAGGGAGGGGTAGAGAGAGAGGGAGAGAATCCTCAAGCAGACTCCCTGCTGAGCATGGAGCCCGATTTGGGGCTCAATGATCTCACAATCCTGAGATCATGACCTGAGCCAAAACCAAGAGCTGGACACTTAACCAACTGACCCACCCAAGCACCCCAAGATTTTATTTATTTGAGAGAGAGACAGAGAGAGCACAAGCAGGAGGAGGGACAGAAGGGAGCGGAGAGGGAGAAGCAGAATCCATGCTGAGTGGGGAGCCTGACGTGGGGCTCCATCCCAGGACCCCGAGATCACGACCTGAGCTGAAATCAGACACCTAAGTGACTGAGCCACCCAGGCACCCCATTAATGAAGTATTTTTTTAAAGATTTTATTTATTTATTTGTCAGAGAGAGAGAGCACAAGCAGGGGAAGCAGCAGGCAGAGGGAGAAGCAGGCTCCTCGCTGAGCAAGGAGCCCAATGTGGGACTCGATCCCAGGACCCCAGGATCATGATCTGAGCCGAAGGCAGACACTTAACTGACCGAGCCACCCAGGTGTCCCTGATGAAGTATTTTTAATTAAAAATTAATGCCAAAAGTTCCATGATGAACAAAATATCAAACATTTAAACAAAACCAGGACCTGAGGCAAAGAGGAAAAGTACCAATCCCACTACCCTAGTCCTGGCCCTCAGGATTCTGCTGTTCCTCCTGTCGACCTGCAGGTGGTAGGGTCAGCTTCGTTTTAGAAAATAGTCTTTGCTTGGCTTTTGCTTTCTGGATCTGTGGAACTGGTGCTTGAAGTCCATGCTGACCTGGCTGGATGGGCGTTCTATGAAACCGGGTAAGGCCCTTCCCTTCTCTGGACCTCCGTTTTCCTATCTGTAAATGCTAGGAGCTCAAATTTCATTTCTAGCTCATCAGCCCTGGGTTCTCCTTCGCCCTCACTCTTCTTGCCATACCATTTGGAATGTCATTGTTTTCAATTTAGAACCCAGTTGTGGTCTCTCTTTTATCTTCCTCTGGTTGATTGAACGCTCAACTACAGGAAACCTGCAATTTTTCTGAAGGGCAGAAGCTCCACTGTACAAACCATTATAGCCTTCCCAATGTGGAGAGCATGGTATGGGAGCTCATGCAATGCTCAAATAACATGTTTTTCTGGTTAGAAAGTTATTTGTGTTTTTTCTTCTTTAGTTTATTTATGTAATAAATTGACTATATGTTCCTAGTGATGAAGCCTCTTATTCCCGAGGGTGGGGGTTGGGACCCAAAAGTGAAAATGATCTACAGTTTTCTTTTCTTCTGCTGCTTCTTTGTTTGTTTGTTTTTAAAGATTTTATTTATTTACTTGAGAGAGAGAGCACAAGCAGGGGAGAGGGGTAGTGGGAGAGGGAGAAGCAGACTCCCCACTGAGCAGGGAGCGTGATGTGGGGCTTGATCCCAGGACCCTGAGATCAGGACCTGAGCCAAAGGCAGATGCTTAACCAACTGAGTCACCCAGGTGCCCCTCTTCTTTTTTTTTTAAATTGTGTTTTAGTACTAAGGTAATGTTAGTAAAATGGATTATGAACTCTCCATATTTTTCCTGTGGTTTAGAATAGTTTACATAACCTAAGAATAATCTGATCTTTAAAAGCTAAATAAAACTCAGTTGCAAAACCATCTGGGCCTGGTGCCTTTTCCCACCTCTAACTTTTTATTAAAAATTTCAACTCTAGGGGCACCTGGATGGCTCAGTCCTTAAGTGTCTGCTTTCGGCTCAGGTCATGATCCCAGGGTCCTGGAATCCCTGCATGGGGCTCCCTGCTCAGCGGGAAGCCTGCTTCTCCCTCTCCCATTCCCCCTTCTTGTGTTCCCTCTCTCAGTGTCTCTCTCTGTCAAATAAATAAATAAAGTCTTTAAACAAATTTCAAATCTATAGAAAAGTTGAGCACTCTTCACCTACATTCACCAATTGTTAACATTTTGCCACATTTGTGTGTTCTCTCTCTCTCTCTCTCTCTCTCTCTCTCTCTCACACACACACACACACACACACACTTATGCTCTACTTTGTCCTGTGTCGACTTAGCTGGAACCAAGTTTCCTAGAATTCTTTCCCCTGTGTGGTTCCAAGTTGGGTTGGCCACAGAATCAATTTGCTCAAGATTTGGAAGGAGCAGCCATTTTTTGTGCTCTGAGGTTTGACGGAAGGCCTCAGGCTCTTGCTGGAGCCGGCACGTGGCTGTCGCCGATCTGCTAACTTACCTTGTTGATTCTGGGCACCCTGGGCCTGTAGCCTCCCTGGTTCCTGCCGGGTCTTCTCCTTTGACTTGTCTGAGTACTGGGATCAGGTAGGTGTGCAGCCCTGGCAAAGGACACCAGTACTCCTGCAGGTCATCTGTGTCACTGAGGCTGAAGAGGGTGAGAGACAGATGTGGGCTCTACTGTCCTTGCCCTCACGCAGGTCCTTGGCATCTCTCCAGCTACCAGCAGGTACAGAGGCCTCGCACAGTCTATGCACCAGCACCCACACCGCATGAAGTCTATTACTCCACGTCATAGTGGCCCTGCTCTTCTTCACACACACACACACACACACACACACACACACACATCACATTTAAAATTTTTTTGCTCAACTATTTGAAAGGCGAAATGCAAACATCAAACACTATTCCTTAGCACATTTAAAAAAATGTATCTCCTAAGATTTAAGACATTCTTCTACGTAAACAAAATCCCATTATCCCAACCAAGAAAATTCCATTATCCATCCAGCAGGAACTGAATGTAATAATAGTATCTAGCACATTGTCTATATTCAGATTTCTCTGTCCCAATAATGTCTTTATAGATGGTTTTTTTTCTTTTTAACTCCAGAATCTAATCAAGAAGCTTCCAGTGCATTTGGTTGTCATATTTCTTTAAAATTTTAAAAAAGATTTATTCATTTATTTTAGATAGGGGGAGGGGCAGAGGGAGAAGGAGGGAATCTGAACTCAGAGCCAACTTGGGCTTGATCTCACAACCCTGAGATCATAACCTGAGCCAAAACCAAGAGTCAGACCCTTAACTGATTGAGCCACTCAGGTGCCCCAATGTTTCTTTAATTTTTGAATCTGGAATAGTTCTGTCTCTTTTTTCCTCTCTTTCATGACTTTAATTTTTTTAAAGATTTGATTTATTTGATAGAGAGGGCACAAGCAGGGGGAGCGGCAGGCAGAGGGAGAGGGAGAAGCAGGCTCCCCACTGAGCAGAGAGCCCAATGTGGGGCTCTACCCCAGGACACTGGGATCATGACCTGAGCCAAAGGCAGACGCTCAACCAACTGAGCCACCCAGATGCCCTGTCCTATTTTTTTTAAGATTTTATTTTTAAGTAATCTCTGCACCCAACATGGGGCTCAAACTCACAGCCCAGAGATCAAAAGTCACATGCTCTACCTACTGAGCCAGCCAGGTGCCCCAGTTTGTCCTATTATTGCCCCCAGAGTCTTTTGGGATGCAATCTCTTTGTCTTTCTAATCTCTTCCATGGTTCTTAGTCCGTTATTTCTATTGCTTAAGTCAATTTTGATAATTTATGTATTGTTAAAAAAATAACCTATTTCTTTTTGTTATTCCAATTTATTACCATAATATTTAAAGATAATTAATAACATCCATATCTGCATTTGTATTACCTTCTTCATTCCTAATGTTGCATATTTTTACTTTCTCTCTTTGCTTGCTTTCTTTGGACTTACCTTTAGTTAAGATTTCTCCCATTTTATTTGTCTCTTCAAACTGATCTTTTTTCTTTTCAAACAAATTTTATTTATTCTCTTAGTATGTTTTTCCCATTTCATTGGTATTCCCTTTCATCTTTTTGTTCTCTCTCCTTTTAACTCGTTTTTCTAATTTCTTAGTCCTTGTTTCACTTACTTTGAGTCTTTTATAAATAAAAGCATTTAAGACTGCTAATGTTCATCTGAGTACAACTTTAACTGTGTCCCATGGGGTTTTAGTGTAAAGAATTCTTTTTATTTCCTTTTTGAGATATTTTTAACAATAGAGGTGTACTGTCTTACTTGTGTAATGAAAAGTGAAGAAAAAAAAATACACATAGTCCAATGACATCATTCCAGGATTTCTCTGCTGCTGTGAGAGGAGAAAATGCAGGGATCAGGAATGGTGATGGGCACAGCCGCAGCAGAGGATTTGGAGATGAGCCCTCTTTCAGCACAAGCTTCAGAAGTTGGGTCAGCAGTGGGGGTGGGAGGGGTGGGTAGCAAGATATGGGTCTCATAGAAAAACTGCAAATGGCAAGAGTTTCATCTTGAGAGTAAAATAGGTTTGTTTGTTTAAGCAGTCAAAGAAAACACCAAGGGAAAAAAAAAAAGCAAGCCATAACCCATAATGCAGAATGCCAAGCTCTGTCTCCTCCTTCATGAGGTCCCATCAGAGGGAAGGTTGGGGGTGGGGGGGACTATTTGTAGTCTTCCAGTGAATCCAGGCAGAGAACTACTTATAAATATGCTCAAACAGCTCTTGGGTGGTCGTGCTTTTGCCCTGGAAGGAGGCATTTGCATTTTTAGGCCCTAGGGTGAGATGTCAAAAACAGATGGCTTCGATTGTTGGCAATCCATTCAACAAAATAACTGTTATTTTTGTTTTGTATATTAAACATCTGCTCAAACAGCTCCTCCTGTATTGGGGCGTGGCTGTGATGTGTTTAAGGGGGTGCTTATCCACAGCTAGGGGAAGGGTCACTACTTGGAAGGAAGAGAGGGAGGGAGTTGGGGGTCAAGAAGACCCCACCAGGGACCCCACAAGGGGATGTCCCAAAGGTCTGGGCAGTGAGCTCTGAGCTTGTGGACAATCAGACCCAGGACCCAAAGCCTGCTTCACCTGCTTGCCCAATGACAGGCCCCTGAGACCCCTTTGGGGTGGCCAGCTGGTGAGGAGGGGAGCCAGGTCCCCCAGATGGACCCCCTTGGCTACCTGCTTCCTGACTCAGGAGAGAGCAGGAAACACTCAGTGTGACTCAAGACAAGGAGCCCAGGGCCCAGCTTATGCATAAATGGGAGGGAGGGAAACTGACACCAGAGAGAAAAAGTGCCAGGCCTGGGCCACTCAACATGGCAGGACCAGACTCTGAGCGCTGGACTCCTGGCTCCCCCGAAGCTGAGAGTCGTGCTGGGTCTGAAGCAGGGTGGGGAGGGCTCTGGGCCCTGACTCCCTGTAGGGTAAGGTGGGAAGGCGGCTGCTGTCAGGGAGAGGGGTGAGTAGGGAAAAGCGGAGGTGGGAAGACAGTAGACAAAGAGAGGAGAGGGAGGGAGTAGGGACGTGGAGAGGAGGCAGGAAGCTGGAGGGGCCCAGAAAGGCAGCCTGTGTTTCATCTGAGTTGGGAAGGACGGGCATCCCTGCTTTTTTTAGGCTATGAGAGATTTTCAGGGTCTGCTTTACAAGACACTGGCGTGGGGGGGGTGGCCTGTGATGAGGATCCCAGGGTGCCCTGTCATTAGCTGGAGTGGGGGTTAAGGTATGGAGAAATAACACTCTCGAGTCTCAGGATGGAGCAGCCATTCCCCCAGCCACCGTCAGAGCCAGGGCAGGTCCAGGTTTTGCAGGTAGAAGCCTGAAGCTTCGACAGTATGGCGGGGGTGATGGGGGGGGGGGGGGGAAGTGCTCTCTTTAAGAAAGAGAAAACACAATTACAAAAATGAAGTTAGGTATGGAACCTTGAAAGGGGCCTGGCTTCACAGCACCTCCAATGTGCTCAGAGCCTTCTCTGGTGTCTCCTGCTTCATCCTCTCTAACCCAAGGCCCACCTCTCCCCTAGGGGGAGGTGGGAGCAGGTGGTGCCAAGAGCACGGACTTGGTGAAACCTCAATTTTCTCATCTGTAACATGGGCAGGATAATATTTCTCTCCTCAGGACCACAGTAAAGATTAAACCAAATAATAACATGTAGAGCAGTTAGCACAGTGCCCGACATATCACAAGCACTCAATAAATAGTATGCCTGATATGCCATAAGTGTTGGGTTTATGATTGTAATAATCATCCAAAATGATTCCATTTCACTTCAAATGGCACTTCCTCCAGGAAGCCCTGTTTTAAAAAAATTGAAGTATAACATGGGGTGCCTTCCAGTTGGAAGAGCATGTGACTGGATCTCAGGTCGTGAGTTCAAGCCCCACATTGGGTGGGAGATTACTTTAAAAAAAAAAAATCTTTAAAAATTGAACTGGAGCGCCTGGGTGGCTCAGTCAGTTGGGTGTCCGACTCTTGATTTTGGCTCAGGTCATGATCTCAGGGTTGTAGGATTGAGCCCTACATTGGGCTCCATGCTCAGTGTGGAGCCTGCTTATCCCTCTCCCTCCCCCAGCTTGTATGTGCTCTCTCTCTCTCTGTCAAATAAATAAGATCTTCTTAAAAAATCTTTTTTTTTTAAGATTTTTTTTATTTATTTGAGAGAGAGAGAGAGTGAGAGAGAGAGCGCAAGAGGGGGTAGGGTTAGAGGGAGAAGCAGACTCCCCGCGGAGCAGGGAGCCCAATGTGGGACTCGATCCCGGGACTCCGGGATCATGACCTGAGCTGAAGGCAGTCGCTTAACCGACTGAGCCACCCAGGCGCCCCTTCTTAAAAAATCTTAAAAAGGGGCGCCTGGGTGGCTCAGTCGGTTAAGCATCTGCCTTCGACTCAGGTCATGATCCCAGGGTCCTGGGATCGAGCCCCACATCGGGCTCCCTGCTCCACGGGAAGCCTGCTTCTCCCTCTCCCACTCCCCCTGCTTGTGTTCCCTCTCTCGCTGTGTCTCTCTCTGTCAATAAATGAATAAAATCTTTTAAAAAAATAAAAATAAAAAATCTTAAAAAAATAAAAATTGGAAGTATAACATATATCTGACAAAGTACATAATTAAGTGAGCAGCCTGGTGAACTTTTATACAAATATGCACCCTTGTTACCACCACCCAGGTCAACACATAAGACACAGAACATTTCCAGAGCCCCAGGGGCCCTCTCATCTCTCTTCCCAGTCAGTATCCTCGCCCTCCACCCTCATGTGATAGTCATTAAACTGAGCTCTATCATCGATTAGACGGTTCTTGAAGCTTTATATGCATGGAATCATAGTGTATCCTTCTGTGTCTGGCTCAAAGAAGCTCTGAAATCTGGAGGTGCAACAGAACTGTGTGGTTAAGGGGCACCTGGGTGGCTTCCAACTCTTGGTTTCTTGGTTTCAGCTCTGGTCATGATCTCATGGTTGTGGGATTGAGCCCCCTGTCGGGCTCTGCGCTCAGTGCAGTCTGCTTCAGATTTTTTCTCTCTCTCCCTCTGACCCTCCCTGCTCTCATGCTCGCTTGCGTGCTCTCTTTCTCTCAAATGAATAAATAAAATCTTAAAAAAAAAAAAAAAGAGCTGTGTGGTTAAGAGTTCAGGCTTTGGGCTCAAATACGCCTGGTTCAAATCCTGGTTTGGCCAGGAATTTGCTATGTGCCCCAGGACGTGCTGTGTCTCAGTGTCTGCATCTGTAAAGCATATAAATCATCATACCTACTTGATAGTATTTCGAGGGGGCTTAAATGAGATATTGTGCTTGAAGCATTTGGTAAACAAGGGTGCCCAGGAAGTGGCAGGTGCTATTCTGATTCACCTTAATTATGTTCAGCCCCTCCCACACCCACCACAGAAGAATCCCAGAGACTCCACAGCTCTGACCTGAACTATTACCCTAGCCTCCCTTGGTGCCTTCATCTCTGATCCAGCCTCCAGTCTGGGCTGCTAAGTGGGCTGTGCCAACATGGCCACAGATGGGTTACTGGGCCTTCACCCACGCTGTTGCTTCTGTTCAGGATATGCCCCATCACCCCCACTCCTCTTTCCCATGCAAACTTGGCTAAGCTTCAAAGTCTCAACTTTGGGGCGCCTGGGTGGCTCAGTCGTTAAGCGTCTGCCTTCGGCTCGGGTCTTGATCCCGGGGTCCTGGGATCGAGCCCCGCATAGGGCTTGCTGCTCAGCGGGAAGCCTGCTTCTCCCTCTCCCACTCCCCCTGCTTGTGTTCCCTCTCTCGCTGTGTCTCTCTCTGTCAAATAAAATCTTTAAAAAAAAAAAAAAAGTCTCAACTTTGCCTTTCCCAAGAGTCACTTCCAGATCCCTGGCTGGACTGGATACCCCTCCTCAGGCCTCGCTGGCTCCCTGTTCCTGCCCTGGCTCAACCCTGCACTGTGTCTATATGCTCACCCTGGAGTGCTCCGCACCTGGCAGAGGGCCCAGCATACTGCAGACACCTGATGAATATTTATTAAATGTTAAATGGATAAATAAATAAATGTCACGTCCATACTTGAAAACCTTCCATGGCTTCTCATGGAGAAATAAAGTCCAAACCACAGAGCACCATGTTCTACCATCCAGCCTCACCTCCCACGTGGCACGGTGTGGATCCTGGTCCTTTCTTTTGTTGGCTGTGAGCCCTTGGACAAATGGCTTGGTTTTCTCATCTGTAAAATGGGGATAATAATAGTAAATAACTCATAGGTAACCATTAGGGTTAAATGGATCGATATATGTAAAGAGCTTGGAATAAGTGACTGACACATAGTATGTCCCACACATGCTTGTTGTCCGCAATATCCTCCTCGTCATCATCACTATTCTGCTGGGGGAGGGGCAGTCACCTGGCTCTGCGGGATGAGGACAGGGACCTGGACCTGGCGGCAGGACTCCTTTTCTTTAAGAGTCCTTTGTTTACTCAGCCCTATCATTCACTCCCATCTTCCAAAGTACCTGGTACCAATGAATCCTGAGCTTCCTCCAAGGTTCTGTGGTTGAGTCTGGTCTCTTTTTGAAGATTTGTGTTTCTACCTCCTCTTCTCTATGCAATCATTAACCCTCAGCCACATGCTGCTCATCTTCCAGAGTTTTGTCACTATCTCTCATCTCCCATTCCCTCCTTTTTCTGTTCTTTGTGTCTTGTTTTGTTTTTTGCAACTTTTTTTTAAAGTAGGCTCCATGCCCAATGTGGGGCTCAAACTCATGTGCCTGAGATCAAGAGTCACATGCTCTACCGACTGAGCCAGTCAGATGCCCCCATTCTTTGTGTCCTTATGGATTTAAACTTCTTATAATTCCCCTGCTATTGCTTTAGCGGGCTTTCAGGAGGAAAAGGATTCCACATTATATAACCAGATCTATTTTTCTATCAACAAACAAAATTCTAAAAACAAACAAGCAAACAAACAAACAAAATTCTAAAGCAAAACATTGATTTATTTTTGGGGAGGGGGCACATGGGAATTTGCTTTATTGCTTTGCTATGTTTTTAAAATGTTTTGTTTTTTTTAAAAAAGAGAGGTTCTCCCCTATTCAAAAAAGTGCCCTTGATCCTGATCTGTGGTTTTCATCTAGCTGTTCTTCTGCTCTCCTCTTTCTGTGCACCCCTGGCTCCTCTGTACTTCTCTGGCCATTTCCCTCCTGCCTCCTTCTGGTGTCTGCTCCTTCTGCTCAACCTTAAACTGAGTGTTTCCCAGTGTCCTTCACATAACCAACCCTGGGTCATCCCAGTCACTATTGCTGGTGTCATCCATAGCCTATGTGCTGAGAGGCACACCAGATCTGGCTTCTGACTTTTGAACTCACATCCAATGGCTTCTCATTGAAGCCCAGCCTGCCTGTCTCTCCCCTTTAAAATGCAAAACGAGGGGTGCCTGAGTGGCTTAGTCAGTTAAGTGTCCAGCTCTTGATCTTGGCTCAGGTCTTGATCTCACAGTTGTGAGTTGGACCCTGCGTTGGACCCTGCCCAGCATGGAGCCCGCTTAGAAAATAATAATAAAATAAAATAAATAAAATGCAAAACTATTCCCTGCCCTTCTCCAGGTCTACTCCTGATCACCCTACTATTTTTTAAAAATATTATTTGTCAGAGAGAGCACAAGCAGGGGGAGCAGCAGGCAGAGGGAGAAGCAGACTCCCTGCTGAGCCAGGAGCCAGACACAGATCTCGATCCCAGGACCCTGGGATCATGACCCGTGCTGAAGGCAGACACTTAACCGACTGAGCCACCCAGATGTCCCTCACACTACTATTTCTATCATAGCACTTATCACTTTCTAACACACTATATAGTTTATTATTTACTTATTTATTATGTTTCTCCCTCTAGGATGTCAGCTTCATAACCAATGGGAATTTTCTTTCCTGTTCACTGCTGCATCTCCAGTGTCTAGGATGCTGTCTGGAGCATAGTAGGTGCTCAATAAATATTGCTGCATTGATGAATACCACTACACTTGGCCTATTCCAGAGGTTCCCAAGCATGGTAGCCTCTCTGTCTGTCATTTTTTTCATAGCATCCCAGACTAAAAGAAATACCTATCAGCTTTGTTGGTAGCTAACTACCAGTTGTTTAGTCCTAACTACTTAATTGCCATTTGAAAAAATAAGGGGAGCCTGGTTGGCTCAGTTGGGAGAGTGTGCAACTCTTCATCTTGGGGTCATGAGTTCGAGCCCCACGTTGGGTGTAGAGATGACTTAAATAAATAATCTTTTTAAAAAGGAAAGAAAAAATAATGGCCATAAATTGAAAGAAAAGGTATTTTAAAATAATTTTTTTTAAAGATTTTATTTATTTATTTGGCAGAGAGAGAGACAGTGAGAGAGGGAACACAAGTAGGGGGAGTGGGAGAGGGAGAAGCAGGCTTCCCGCGGAGCAGGGAGCCCAATGCAGGGCTCGATCCCAGGATCCTGAGATCATGACCCGAGCCAAAAGCAGACACTTGACTAAGCCACCCAGGTGCCCCTAAAATAATTCTTAAGTAACCACCATTACTTACTAATAGTGTAGGTGCATTTTCTCAGACCTTGGAATCACATCAGACATTGTCTCATTTCCTGTTCCACATTGATTTGCATGAGTTATTTGCTTCTTGTCACATCAATTGATGAAAACCCAGCTTTATAAAGATGTAATGTCACAGAAAGGAATGTAGGAAATTCTGATGTTGAAACTGTGAACTACTTCCAGCTACTAGTTTTCAGTGTCCAACAGATGATATCATTGTTTCTCTCCAAAATTTAAAATATTTTGCTATGCTCCTGTTAATTTGCTGTGGTACCTCAGGGTGTCTCAGCACATAGTTTGGGAACCATGGGTCTATGCTTTTTTGTTTTGTTTTGTTTTTTAAGATTTTATTTATTTATTTGACAGAGAGATAGAGCCAAAGAGCACAAGTGGGGGGGATGGCAAAGGGTGAGGAAAAAGCAGGCTCCCCGCTGAGCAAGGAGCCCAATGCGGGGCTCGATCCCCGGCCCTCAAGATCATGACCTGAGCAGAAGGCAGACGCTTAACTGACTGAGCCACCCAGGGGCCACTATGCTCTTTTCTTGATTGGATTTGATCTCTCGCTTCTCAGCTTCTGGGCTCAGCTCAACTGCCACTTTCTTCCATGAATCTTTCTAACCAAACTGGCCAGAAGCAAAACACATCTAAACAAACTATTTCCCTAGTTGGAATGAAAATTCCTTCCTCTGGGATCTTATAACAATTTAATGTAAAGTGTAAAAGACACAAATTGTTCTCTGATACCCACAGTGTAAAAAACGTCGTATTTCTTTTTTAAAGATTTTATTTATTTATTTGACAGAGAGAGAGACAGTGAGAGAGGGAACACAAGCAGGTGGAGTGGGAGAGGGAGAAGCAGGCTTCCCGCGGAGCAGGGAGCCTGATGCGGGGCTCCATCCCAGGAGTCTGGGATCATGACCTGAGCGGAAGGCAGACGCTTAAGGGCTGAGCCACCCAGGCGCCCCTTTATTTTTCTGAATCAAATAAAAGCAGCTTTAAGAGGGCGCCTGGGTGGCTTGGTCGGTTGAACATTTGCCTTGGGCTTGGGTCTTGATCCCAGGGTCCTGGGATCGAGCCCCGCTTTGGGCTCCCTGCTCCACAGGGAGCCTGTTTCTCCCTCTCCCTCTGCCTGCTGCTCTCCCTGCTTGTGCTTGCTCTCCCTCTCTCTGTGTCAAATAAATAAAAATCTTTTAAAAACAAAACAAAAACAAAAAAACCCAGCTTTAAGCCCCCACTGGCTGAGGTCACCAAGACTTCTAGTATCTGGCATTTGGGGGTAGCTCTTTCCTTATTCTTGGGATTTTCACAATCCAGGCAAATCTGAACTGCCCACATCAGCTATCTGTGGAGGCTTCCACTACAGTGTTCACTAGTCCATTCGAAAGTGGCTGGCCCTAATCTCTGCCCCAGAGCCAGGCTGAACAAAGGGACTCTTTCCTGGCTCTCAGGGCTGAGTGGGAAAGGTTTTGGTGGTTGATGCCAGGTATTCACACTACCACTACACCTGTCCAGAGCCCTGCCCACAATGGGGCTCTATGTGAGTTGGGTAAAAGTCAGGGCCTCTCTGGGAGCCTGTTCAATGGGGGAATCCAACCTTTCCCTTTGGTCCCCCAGAGTTTTGCAAGCAGGTGCCTTGGGAGCTGGATGTGGCCCTCAGATGTGTTTTGTTTGGCCAGTGGTGGTGTTAATAAAAATTTTTTTTTAGTCCATAGCAATACTTAACCATTGGGAGATGTCACAATTCTTACCATCAAGATCCTTGACCGCTGCGTGGAAACTATTGATTAGAGCTGAGTAAGGACTGCCCCTCTGGGCAAGGCATGTAGTCTGCAGTTGGCCACATCTGTGGTTGTTACCTCCACATGGCCTCTACAGTCTTTTGAATTTGAGACCCTGGCTAGACTTTGCAAACAAAGCCCTTTTGATATTATATTCTGACCTCAAATACAAAAATCTGTTAACTCACTCTTGGGGGCAAAGATGTACCAAACTCAAGGACTCCAGGCCCAGCAGCTCTTTGTAGGTTTGGGGACTGTGGGTGGAGATGGAGATGGAGACAATTACTTTTTCATCCTCTGCCAAGAATCTACAGCGTCAATAAAGGCAGGACACAGTCTCCTTTTATTTTTAATGATATTAATAAGCTAACGTTCATTGGGTCCTTACTAGGTACCCAGTACTAGGTAAAGAATCTTATAAATATTATCTTGTTGAATTCTTTAGAAACTGCTTCTAAAAGAATGTAGCAGAATCTAAATGTCCAGTGGCCATGGGAAGGGGTGGAGGTGAACATGGAAAAATGCAGTTGATGATGCGGCTTTAAAGCAGAGGAGGTAGGAGCAAGCCCGAGACTGTGGGAGAAGGGCTCTCCAACAGGCCCTGGGTGTGCACGGGACCCAAACCAGTGGGTCCACAGTATCAGTAGGTTTGGTGGCAATAACTATAGGTCGTTGCTTCTGTCTCAACTTGGTCAGCTCCATTGCCAATTCAGGCTCATCTGTCCCTCTCTCCCCTCTCTTGGTCCCTCCACGCTGCTCACAGCCCGTATGCTCAGACCTCCAGTTTCTCCCTGCTCTGCTCTGCATCCATCCCCCGCGCCCCCCTCACCTGCCTGTCTCCTGGAAGTGCAGCGGCCAAGCCACAAACAGGCTCCCCGCCGTCACATGACCCGTGCGTAAATCACAGGACTCTTCCTACCCCCAGCGGCTACTCGGCACCAGGGCTCTGCAGAGGCTGCGGGCCGCGCATGCGCAGCTGCAAGCGCACCTGCCCAGCCGCGGACCAGCCCAACGCATCCTGCGGCCGCAGCCCCGCCCCGCGCTCTGGCCGGGCTGGGGCACCAAGCTGAGGGCTCGCCTGGGTACGAATTCCCAAGAGGTCCAGGTTCTGGTTGTTGATATGCCCCCAGCTAGCAGTCCACACAGCCAGACCTCTCTAAGGAGAGGGTCAGGGCTCTCAGTATCTCTCTGTGTGTCAAATAAATAATTAAAATAAAAAAAAAAATACAGAGCAAAGGGTAATAGGCATGATGACTGACGCAGGATTTTACCTTAAGGTGTAGGTCATCTGACTGTCTCCTCCATTGTCCTTGTTTCACAGATGTGGAAATCAAGGCTCAGAGATATCAGGAGGTCTCAAGCCAGTCTTGGATTCCCCAAGCAGGAAGATTCCAATCCGCCACTCCAGAGTCAGGGGTTCCTGAGTGAGTTCACAGTCTGTCACCCCACTTGCTTTTTCAGCCATCCTATTTAGAATAACACCCGTTCTGATTTTTGCCATCCCTAGTGAACATCTCAGGTACACATCCACAGGCAAATATTTCTTTTTTTGTCCTTTCCTCTGCAGAAAATAACAAGCTGCTATATTTTATTTGCCTGTGACCTCTGAGGAAGTCCTCATACAGATTCCAGGCTACCAAAATGTCCTGGAGCCTTGCAGTGAGGCCTACCTCTGGGGGCTTTCCTCTCTATCTGCCCCTCAGACTCTCCTCCAGCCACACTGACCCCCTCTCCATTCCTGGAAGAGCCAAACTCCTTTCTGGCACTTGTTCTTTGCATTTTCTGTATATCTGCCTGGGACACTCTCCCAGACCCCTCTTGCTACCTGCCCTGACTATACCTCACCAGGTCCACTGGGTCAAGTGCTCCGTCACTCACTCTCACAGCCCCTGTCCTGCTTTAGCATTTATTAGGACAGTAACTCAATGCTGTGTCTGACTCCTTGATTCCTGTCTGTCTTCTCAGCTAGAATACTGGCTCCTTGAGGCTTCTCCCTCTCCCTGAGGCTGGCTAAGACGGGAGCATGCAGCATTACAAGTGCATCCTAGGTTCCCTCACATTTACAAATTACCTCCTCCTTCCCCAAATGCACCCTGAGACTATCAATACCTTCCTTGGGTAAAAGGCAGAGTCCAGATGTGAAATGATAGACAAACACTTACTCTCCCTGTGAAGCCATGTGAAAGTTCTGTTAGGGTAGATTGGGGTGGGGGCAAGAAGATGGTCAAATCTTCCTGCCCTGGGGCTGGTAGCTGAACTAGGACATGTGGCCTCTTGTCCTGGCTCTGCCATTCTTCATTGTGTGCGACCTTTGGAAAGTCCTCCTGTGGGCCTCAGCTGCTTTAACTGCTCAGTGTAAAATAATGATTCAGAATTCAGATTCTGGAATTGGATCTTTCCTTTGTCACTAGCAAAGCTCTTATCCTCTCTGAATCTCAGTTTTTTCATCTGTAAATATTATTACATTTCTTAATGTTAAGAAAAGAGGACTTAGGGACACTTGGGTGGCTCAGTTGGTTAAGCATCTGCCTTCAGCTCAGGTCCTGATCCCAGGGTCCTGGGATAGAATCCCACACTGGGCTCCTTGCTCGGCAGGAAGCCTGCTTCTCCCTTGCTTGTGCTCTCTCTCTCTGACAAATAAATAAAATCTAAAAAAAAAAGAAAAGAAAAAAGAAAAGGAAAGAAAAGAGGACTTAGCTCACAGAGTTGTTCCAAATTTTAATGAGTATTTACTGATTTTATGACTTTAAGCTCTCCTGTCCTTTTTAGTTTTTAATTGGCTCAACTCATTTGCTTTTCTTTGAAGCCAGAGGTGAGTCCTGTGCCATATTTCAAAAGTAACATCCCTCATTAATAAAGAAAGTCCATCAGAGGTGCACCAGCTGGGTGGCTCAGTCAGCTAAGCGTCTGTCTTCAGCTCAGGTCATGATCCCAGAGTCCTGGGATCCTGCCTCCCTCTCCCTAATAAATAATAAAGATTTTATTTATTTATGTGACAGAGGGAGAGAAAGAGAGAGCACAAGCAGAGGGAGTGGCAGGCAAAGGGAGAGGGAGAAGCAGGCTCCTGGAGGAGCAGGGAGCCCAATGAGGGGCTCGATCTCAGGACCCCGGGATCATGACCCGAGCCCAAGGCAGTCGCTAAACCGAGCCACCCAGGCGCCCCAATAAATAAAATCTTTAAAAAAAAAAAGTCCATCAAAAACTGACTTGGGACCACTTTGGTAATGTGGACTCCTGTAAGGAGATGCTGAGACCTGAGTTGTCCTACAGCATATTCCTATCAGACTTGGGACTTCGAAATTTCTAGCCTTTTGAGTGGCCAAAGACTCAGATCCGAGTCTGCCTTGTACATGGCTGTAGCTCCAATGCCCAGAATAGTAGCTTGCATGGAGTAGTGGGAGACCACTCAATATTTGCTAATGAATGTTACACAGCCTGAGAGCAACTCTAGTGCTCAATTCTCTGAGCCTCGGTTTGGTTTTTTTTTTTTATCGGAAAATGGAGATTAAAAACAATTCTTAATTACTGTGAGGATTTAATGAGATGATGCAGTAAAGCGCTTAGCGTGGAGCCTGACACAAGAGCTCAGTGAATGGCGGGTATGAGGATATAGGTACCCAGAGAGAGAGAGATGATGTCGATAAACCTCCAGTTATGTTGTGGTTAGGAGTCCCTGAGTTCCTTATGTGGGCAGGCGAAAAATGGAGGGTTCCCAGGAAGAGGAAAGACAGGACATAACGTGGATTCAGGAAGAGGGAGCTTGTCAGTAGCCTGTGGCCAGGTGCGGAGGCGGCGGAGGGGACTTTAGGACCCTGCGCCCCAGGAGCGCGCGATTGGCAGCAGGGTGCGCGCTGCGCGTGAGGTGAGGGGGAGGGCGCGGCTTTCGCGCCAGCCAGGGACCGCCTCGCGTCCAGCCGCATCTCGGCGGGCGGGGCCGAGCTCCCGGGCCGCAGTGCGATTGGCGGAGGTGCGCGGGTGACGCTGACGGCTGGCACAAGGCCCCGCCCCCGGCCAGCCCCGCCCGCGCGCGCGCCGGCAGGTCGGCAGCCTCGCTCTGGCTCGCGCCGCGCCTCCGCGGCGAGTCCGCGCGTCAGTTGAGCCCGAGCGCGGTAGCGGAGCGGAGGGCTGTGCCCGGCAGAGCGCGCTGACCCGGGGAGGTAGCCGTGTCCGCGGGCGTCGCCTGAGGAGACTCGGAGCCCGAGACTCGCGCAGCACGATGGCCCCCATTGGCCTCAAAGCCGTGGTCGGAGAGAGTAAGTGGAGTGGGGGATCCTCCCGCGGGCGAGGGCTGCGGCTGCCCGGCGGGAGCGCGGCGCCGTACCTGCCCGCGGCGCCCCGGCCTCCGCGCGGGCTACTCGCGCCGCCCGGCCGGGGGGCTCGGGGCTGGGAGGGCCCCGTTATTCCGGCGCCGCCCTCCTCGCAGGGAAGTCCCTCCCGGCCTCCTGGGGCCGGCGCCCGCTTCCCTCTTCCCCCGCTCTCGCCTTCCCGCATTCCTCTCCCTGCATCCCACCCCTCCCCTCTTCACCCCATCCTCCTTCACCCATCCCTCCCCTGCATCCCCCTCCCGCTCTTCCCTTTTTACCACCCCATCGCTCCCTCCTCACCCCCATTTCTCTCCCTCACCCCATCCCCCCTTCACGCCATTCCTTCTTCCTCCCCCTTCACGAGCCCCCAGCACCCCATCCCTCCCCTTCACCTCGCCTTTATCCCCTGCAGCCTATCACCCACCCCTTCTGCACCCATCACCCTCCCCTGCACCTCCATTCTTCTTCACTCCTAATCACCTTCCCCCCCTTCCCCTCTCCCCTTCCTTGCCTTCTTTATTCCCCGAGCTCCCTGATTCCGTTCCGTTTTCTGCCTCCAGTCCCTCCCTCTTTCCCACTCTGCTTGGTGAATCGTGACGAGCGAGATCGCGGCCTGCGCCGCCCCCCCCCCCCCCCCCGGGGAGCCCGAGCCGCGGTCCCCGGCTGCGGAGACCCACCTGGGAGCCGCTCGGCGCGCACCGGCCGCGCCGCGCCGCTCGCCCTGCCCGGGCCGCTGCTGGCCGCTGGGGAGGAGCAGCCTGTTTTTCCAAAGGCTTGGCTCTGCTAAGCTGAGGCCGCCTCTCTCCTCCTCCCGTTCCGGGGTCGTGGCTGCAAGGGCGGGGTCTTATCTGGGTCCCGAACCCTCTTAAATCACTCGGGAGGAGGCGGAAAGCTTTAGCGTGCGGCGGCGGGAGCGGCCCTGCCCTGCCCAGCACCGCAGTCTGCAGTCTCCCTGTTGGCAGGACTCAGCCCTGGCTTGGCTGGACGTTTCGGGCAGTCGAAGCCACTGTTGCAGGGAGGAAATGGTCGTTGATGGGTTTGGATGAAAGGCTCAGCGTAAATGGATTTTTAAAAATGGGTGGTGGTGAGTGTCGGCTGCAGCGGAGTGAGGGCTGTTGGTGATAATATTTGGAAACGGTGTCCTCGGTGCTAAGTAAGATTGGTAATAGGTGTAGACACATAGTGCCTCTTCAATATTTTGGCGATTTCTTTAATAAAAAACGTGTGAGGATTTCTGTGGCTTTTGCTACCTCTTTCGGATTTAGGAAAAAATGAAAACTGGGTTTTTCTTTGCAGGAGAGGATAAGAAAGGAAATGGAATAAAAGTGGTGGAAATGACTGTTTCCTTTCCAGTGATTCTGTTATTATAGCGCTCTCTCATCAAATGTTTTTTAACTGTGTAGCGTTCCTTTTGAGCATCACAACTGTTTTTCTTCCCCAGTTTTTCTGTTAATATATAGGAAAGATTCCCACTTGTACAACATTTCCTGACCTATTGCACCAGAAGAGAATTGTCATAAAAACTGAAGCCCAAATGAGCAAGTTTTTAAAAGTGCCCACAATAACACCTGCCCTCCTCATGCAGTAAAGTTTCTGAATCATCTACCTTCTATTTTCTTAGGAGAATCAAGGCGTTTAGGGCTGGAAGGACCCATGAGGGATCCTCTAATGTCATTTTACCTGTGGGAAAGAAATGGAGGCTCGTAACAGTTAAATGACTTGCCAAAATCAGTGTTAATTAATTTTTTAAAACCTGATATCCATTTCCTTGCAATATTAGTAAAAAAAAAAAACACTTTCTTCATTATTCTATATACACCATTTCCTTCAGTAGTCTTTTTAAAGCGTTTTGAAATATGGAATGTTGTGTTACATGTTACATTCTTTCAGATGGTATATTTGAATATTGTATCTTTAAAATAAAAGCCTTAAGTGTTATAGAAATAAGTTTTTGCATCCTTTTGCCAGGACCCTTGTTGATGTGGTAGCTCCTTAATACCCCACTCCCCTGCCTTTTTAGAAGCCATCATAAAGGTTAAAAAAAAAAATCAGTAATGCAATATGGCCAAAATTTCTTTTCTGAAATAAAGCAAGACCACTGTTTATGGAAAGCAAATCAGTTTTACATAAAATTGGTGAGTGCGTGAACAGCATCTGTTCTGATAACATTTGAGTTATGTATAAATTTTGGGAAAAAATATTATTGCAAGTCTTTGTCCATGACACAGGTTAATTCTGGCTCCTAATTTTGGACAGGGTTTCTAGTTTTTCCTTTTTTTCTCTACAAATAAAAGTAAAATAAAGAATTTTTTAACCAACACACACCAGTTTAAATGTCCCCTATGCCGCCTGGTCTTCCCAATCTAAATTAACACCTGATAGTCACTGTTGATTGTGTTTCCTCATTTTATTTTCTTTGTAGCATTTCAAATTAACTGAAATGATCTTGTTCAGGCTTGTTTTGTTATTGTGGTTGTTTTTTGTTTGTTTGTTTGTTTGTTTTGGTATTTCTTTGATTGTTTCAGCCACTTGAATGAGAACAGGGTCTTTATGTGGCATGTTAACCACTGTACTCCATGCTAAGAACAGTGGCTGACTCCCTCAGCCATCAATAAATACTTATTGAATGTCAATGAATGAAGCATACAATGGAGAGCAAGATAAATGTAGTTTTCAGCTACTTGTCACATCTTTCTGATTTGCGTTTTGGAGTGGCAGTAGGTGCAGACACAACAGAAGTAGAGGAGGTAGGTCAGCTTTAAGCTGTTCATTCAGCAGTATTTGTTCACAGTCTGCTAGGAACTATGGGAGACTAAAATATGGGACACTCATACTGTTGTGATAGACATAGACAATCCTGAGGAGCTTTCTCTGTTACTCCCAAGTTTTCCCTGCCACCCCCTCTTCCACTTCCCCGACACAGGGGAAGTCTTTGTTGTTAGTCTTGCCCAGCTAGACCAGAAGTTCCTTCAGGGGAGAATAGAACCTTGCCTTACTCTTTTGTCTATCTTTAGTGTTTGAATTAGTGCTTGGGACTCAGTAGATATTGAATGAATGACTTAATCTTTATGTACAGCAATTCAGAGAATGGACTCTTGGAATTAGACTATCTGGGATAAAATTCTGGCTCACCACCTATTAGCCATGTGACTTTGGCAAATAAGGGAACCTTTTTGCACCTCAATTTCCTAAACTGTAAAATGAGTAATAGCACCTACCTTGTGGGGTTCTGTGCGTGTTGGAGATAGTGCAGCACTTAGTATAGTTCTTAGCACACAGTAAATTCAGTAAATATTACCATCATGAAAAGATCCACAAAAAGGGTCAGTGCGTGTTAGAGGATTTTGAGCACAAGATAGACTAGCTCTGCCCTCTGGGGCCAGAGTTTTGGGGGAGAAAGGAGTCTCAGATAAATTTCTTCTTGAAAGGGGCACCTGTTGGTGGCTCAGTTGGTTAAGTGTCTGCCTTTGGCTCAGGTCCTGGGATCGAGTCCTGCATCAGGCTCCCTGCTCAGTGGGGAGCCTGCTTCTCCCTCTCCCTCGGCTCCTCCTCCCTGCTTGTGCTCTCTCTCAAATAAACAAAATCTTTAAAAAAATTTTCTTGACAGATGTGCAAATGAACTGGGAAATGGGAGAGTTGGCCTGAAGAACCTATGGACAAATTGCAATCTGACCCAACTTCTATTTCCAGTTCTACTCTTTATCTTTACCCTTTCTTCTTTATTTTCTTTCTATAAGATGTATTTGTTTTCTGCTCTCTACAAAGAGATTATAAGGGAAAGGTGGATTTCATTTTCTGTGACATTTTATATCTATTTTATGTTAATAGATGACGTTTCGGTATGTAAATCCATGTTGTAATCCAGAGTTTATTTCTGTTCCCTGAAGTTTTCTCAGTGTGTTACAATGATGCAAGGAGTTCAAAATGTACTATTTGTCTTTTTGTTGTTTCCTAGCTGCTAGCAATTTCTCCTCATGTTTGTTTGCAAGAATCACATTCCTCTGGAAAAGAATGCAGTTTCGATTTGCACATTAAGCACATACCTTTTTCAGATGGGTCCATGATTCATAGGATGTGTCAGAAATTGAGAGGACACCTAGATAGAAGCAGTCTTCATTCATTCGTACACTTCTCTTTTTTCCGTAGAAACTTTGGTTAGCATACATATAACAAGTATTTTTTGAAATATATTACATACATATTGTATTTTTTCCAATTTTAAAATCTAGGTATAATTTGCATACAGTAAAATTCACCCTTTTTAGTGAACAGCTCTTCACATTTCAGCCATTACATACAGTTATGTAACCACCGGAATACCCAAAATTCAGAACAATGTCATTACCCCCTCAAATTCCCTTGTGCTGCCCTTTCTAGTCAACCTCTCCTTCCACCCCCAGACCGGGGCAAACACTGAGCTGTTTTCTGTCCCTATAGTTTTGCCTCTTCCAGAATGTCACATCAATGGAATTATACAGTATGTACCTTTTTGAATATGACCTCTTTAACCTTAGTATGATGTGCTTGAGAGTCATCATGTTGCATGTGTCTATAGTTTGTTCCTTTTTTGTTGACTGCTGTTCTTTTGTGTGGATGCACTGCTTGGGTTATCACTTTGCCAGCACTTTGCCACTTCTAGTTAGTTATTTGCATTTGGACAATTGCATTCACACACAGGTTTCTGTGTGAACAGATCACTTGGATATGTAAATATCTAGGAGTGGAATTAATGGGTCATATGATAAGTGTATGTTTAACTTTATAAGAAACTGTCAAATTGTTTTCCAAAGCCATTTTACATTCATACCAGCATCCTTGTTAGTACATGGTATTATATGTTTTAAAAATTTTAGCCATTCCGGGGAGCCTGGGTGGCTCAAGTTGGTTAAGCATCCGACTCTTGATCTCAGCTCAGGTCTTGATCTCAGGTGGTGAGTTCAAGCCCAGCGTTGGCCTCCATGCTGGGCGTGGAGCCTACTCTAAATAAATAAATAAAGCCATTCTGATAGGTATTGGTATGATGGTTTTATTTATTTTTTTTTTAAGATTTATTTATTTATTTATTTGAGCGAGAGAGGGAGAGAAGCGAGCTCCCTGCTGAGCAGGAAGCCCGATTCAAGGGCTCCATCCCAGGAGTCTGGGATCATGACCTGATTCGAAGGCAGATGCTTAACCCACTGAGCTACCCAAGTTCCTCTGTATGATGGTTTTAATTTGCCTTTTGCTAATGACTGATGATGAAGAGAAGCATTTTTCCATGTATTTAGTGTCATCTGTATATCTTTGGTGAAATGTCCAAATGTTTTGCATATTTTTTATTGGGTTATTTTCTTATGACTGAGTTTTAAGAGATCTTTATAATTCCGGGTGCAAGTCCTTTATCAGTTATATGATTTACGGATCTTTTCTCACAGTTTTGTCTTGTCTTTTCATTCTGTGAACAGTATTTTTCAGAGAAGAAGTTCTAATTTATCAATTTCTTTTATGGATTGTGTTTTTGGTATCCCATCCAAGAAATCCTTGCCCAGCCCAAATTCACAAAGCTTTTGTGTTTTATAAATTTTCTGTGTTTTCTTCTAGAAGTTTTATAGTTTTAGGCCTTATATTTAATCTTTGATCCATTTTTTTTAAACTTTTTAAAAAATTTTATTTATTTATTTGACAGAGAGAGACACAGCGAGAGAGGGAACACAAGCAGGGGGAGCGGGAGAGGGAGAAGCAGGCTTCCCGCCAAGCAGGGAGCCCGATGTGGGACTTGATCCCAGGACCCTGGGATCATGACCTGAGCCGAAGGCAGACGCTTAATGACTGAGCCACCCAGGCGCCCCTAATCTT